CGATAACAGGCTACTTGAGTTTGTGGCATCTTTTTTACATGTTCCTTTCACACTTTCACGAAAACGATTAACGCATAGAGAGATAGAAAAAAAAATAGATATATGACATGAATGAAAGTGAAAGTTTGGTTATTCATTCTCCTTTCGTCCAAATGAAACAGTACTATATATAAACCAGAGCTCCGTATGGACTGGACTCAAATTTTTTAGATTTCATGGACTCGGATTGGACTGGACTCAACACGGAGTTCTGATATAAACACTACTATATACAGATAGCTTAACAGAAAAGAAAATAAGTTCTGTTTTATATTATAGAAAGAGAATCGAAAACTATAACGTTAGTTATACATCTCATCTCCACAGTTAACCAACCGGTCAAACTAGTTCCAGACTGCTCAATGCCTTCGTGATTGGGGAAGAATATAAAGAAGATTATTGCTTATTCTGCTGGTGTAAACAAACTATTTTGAGATACTTCAGCTGACTTTTGTAATAGTCTAATAATTACGGGAATTTTGCAAAAACGCTTCGTTACGATGAATCTACGCTTGTATGGATGAACCTCCGGAAGAATTTTCGTATAAAACATGAATACTTTAGTATTGGAGTACTTCGTATGAAACTGTCAAAAGTATAAAAAATAAGCTTACCAGGAAAATTCGGATCAAAGCTGTTGGTGTTGATTAGATATAATCAAGTCTGAAAAGCCTTTTTGCACTATTCGTTCTCTACAGAAAAGAAATCCGACTGTTTTCAGTATTACTTACTAGGAAACGTTACTACATTGTGATTCTATTTCTCTTTACACTGATAAAGTCTGATCTTGAATATGAGACAAAACGGCTGTTTCTGAAAAGAAAATGCATTTAGTTTTAGGAATCGAGCACTGAGCAGAGTTTTAAAACCGTAACTTAAAAAATGAATAAACTTATAAATCAATTTTACTACGAATAGAAAGAAAGCAGAAAAGTACAACCCTTTTGTAGATTCGAACCTGTCTCGTATTTTCTCCGTTTTTCATTTTTGAGAGTTAAATCTGCAACACAATTAAAGCCAGCAGATAAAATTTAGGAAATTAAATTTGCCATATTTTTGTCTCTAAACTCATCTTTGGAAAACTCTTCCTTCATGGCGAAAACCTGGAAATGAGGCAAAAAGATGATATTTCTGATCTTTTACCATGAAGGAAGAGTTTTCCAAAGGTGAGTTTAGAGACAAAAATATGGCAAATTTAATTTCCTAAATTTTATCTGCTGGGTTCAACTGTGTACAAATCGATCTTCAGGATGAAAAACAATATTTACTGTTTTTTATCCAGAAGAACGATTTCTGAACGTCTGGTGCCAGCACACAGAATTTAGAAAATTAAATTTGCTACATTTTATGCTGCAGATTTAAATCTAAAAAATGCTTTTCTCAAAGAGAAAACACAAATCCTAAAATATGTTCTGAATGATTTCATCACTCATCAACTACTACATGTGTGCCTGGTAGCTTAGGGAAGCCGTCAAAAATAACAGAATGCGTAGAACGTAGACGTAGACTATATTCTACGCGTGGAAAAATCTATGCGTAGAATTTATTTTTCTACGCGTAGAATATATTTGTCTACGCATTGATATAGATCATTATCATTCTCTCTCTTTTCTTTTTCTCTTATTTTTACAGAAAGAGAAAATGCGGCATACAGAACAGAAACATTTTCGTTTTCAGTTATAAATTACACAATCTAACACTATTATAAAGCTCAACTATATTCTATACAAGATATACTCATGCACGGCTTTATATGCAAAAGTACACACTAATCTTTATTTCGACAGCAATCATTTCCATTTTAGAATTTCAGAATAGTCACTCTTTAGAAAGACAAGCTTTATTAACATCAAAAAATGAAATAGAGGAATATTATGTTAGAGTTATATCTTGTTTAATGATTCCAGGAATTATGTCTTGTAATATCGACTGCCGACACAAAGACATAACGATTATTACAACGCTCGCATGAACCAAATTTGTTATCCAGAAGGGAAGCATCGGATTTTACGTTTTTTTGTCCGATCATACATGAATGAATAGTTTGTAAAAATGTTTTATAATGATTAGGATGCAGAATACAAGGTGATGTTACCGGCATTCTATTGTGACAAATTGAAAGTAGTTTCATTGTTAAGTTCGCACGAATTGGATTTGTAGAACAATGAAAACAATTAATATCACGACATTTTATGAACATATACGAATAATGTGATTTAACACGATGTTTTAATAAAAATAAATAGTCACAACATAAGGTAGATTGTTCATTAGTTTTTTTTCCATTAATAGTAAACGCGTATCATTATGATCAGCATTTATTGTATTATATGATAGTATAGGTTGGCACTCCAGTTGAAAATTAGCATACGTTCGTTTGTCTCAATGACGATTTAAACAAATAAGTGAGTCATCTAAATTGCGTGGTTCAGTTGCATCTAGATCATACTGTCGTTTCAATGTAATGCCAACCAGCCAGTTTGATAATGGTGACATTGATCTTTCGACAGGATTATATCGACTATTACCAGGTGTGTAACTATATTTTTTTTGTCTCGTGATTGTATCATCTGATACGTATAGATTGAACTAACACACATATATCTCAACCAACTTACTAAATTAATTTGTAGACAGAAAGTCTGTGTATAAATCACAAATTGATTCTCGTGATTACTGTTACTAAAATTGAATTATGTATGTAATTTAATGTAAGAAAAGAAAAAATACATTTTTATGTGTTAAGCAGTGATATTGACGGTCCAATATCTCCACAAATTCAGCCGATCTTTTTCTGAAAAATAGCTGAACATAATGTGTAACTTGTGTACTCGAAGTTAGGGTAAAAAACGCAAGTAAGTACTCTCGACTTAATGCGATATTAATTGATCAAGTTAACGGATTATGCATTAAATTCACAGTGAGAGAGAAAAAGATAGAAAACTAAATTCAGGCTAAAATAGAAACTTTATTCTTTTCATTCTTAGATCTTTTACAGCTATCATAAATAAGAAAATAAAATCGACAGAAGAAAAATAAAGCGGCATGTTTGAAGTCCTAAGTTGAAGTCCTTGTTTGAAAGCCATCGTAAATAAGTCGCGGCAGTCATATACTATTCGTTATATAAAGGCTTGACGGGATACTTTTTAAAAAGAACTGATGTGTTTGAATTTGAAGCACGTTAAATTCTGCATTTTTCTATATCATAAGCATTTTGGATCTGATATTTTGTGTACAACACTGCATCGCATTCACCATTCTACAATAGAGCAAAATTTCTGCCGTTGGGTATCTTGCCCATAAGTGTAACAAACTTAGGATTTGAAAGAATGCGTTATACATCATTCTGTAGCCCTTTCAATTCTGCATAGTTATTAATCTTTCATCAAAAAATCTAACAAAAGTTCAGCACGATACACTTGCTTCTACTTTACAATATGTATTTTCACCAGTCTCTTTAGATCATATCCAATTAATAACCAACATTAAACGTCTCTATGGCAGACTATACAAAATTCAACCCACAATGTGACGAGCGGGAAACAATTATAGAACTCCCTCCATCACAATTCAATAAGCAACAGCTTCAATCTGCAGCAAAACTTCGAGTCATACGCGATAATTTCGGACATCATACTACAAAACATCTCAGAAATTCAGTCAACAACACTGAAAAATATATTGCTGTACTAAAAACATTTTAGCTTTTATTTCTTTTGAATGCAAAAACCGAATACTGTAACTCTTTTCATTCTCGAGTTACTTAACAAACAGCCTCAGGGTTCATAATTTAAAAAAGATGGTAGAAATTTCAGCGGGAAAAAAAAGAGAAAATGTTCGTCTGACTTTTTCAAAGTTTTTTGGTAGAAACAGTCATCCCAGAACACGTTATGAAATCTTTTGAATATTCTTTTAAGAAAATGTTTTTTCTGTATTATTTTACTGAAAAGTAATACTAATTTTATGAATATTTTTATTACTAGCAACAGTAATAATGTTACTGTTACTAGTAATAGGAATACATGGAATACTATTGTTACCAGCAACAGAAATACCTTTTAGTATTACTCTCCTCGGTAATATAATACATGAATAACAGTAATATGCCGTCCCCAATTCTAAGACCATTTCTGATGATAAAAACTTGATATTCATCTGCCTAGTAGAAATGTCTACTGTGCTCTTGTACAAAAGTCATGATTATTGTTCGATTTTCAGCTGGCAATTGAAAATTTGAAAAATTTCTCATTTCACATTTTAGCTCGAAGGAAAAAAGAATGATAAGATTCAAATAGACAAACAATAATAAATGATTTTAAATCTATATTATCACAACTGACTGATAATGGTAACATAAGTTTTTTTAATAAGATAACTTTATGTGCAATGGCTAATAGTACAAATCATATTGATGATGATTTAAATATAAATAAACCATCTGAAGACATTAATGAATTAATTTATGAAATTACTAAATGTTTAAATAATGAACAATTATTAGGATGGTTTTATGTTGTATTAGAAAATAAAACATTTCGGATAACAATTAGTGGAAAATTAAAGAATTTATTCAATTCATTAGATGGTGTAAATAATAAGTTATTATTTTTAAATCAGACGTTACCAGCAACAACACCAACAACCATTAAACGAAGAAAAAATTCAAATGCAGAAGATATATACTTCAATGAATACGGACAACCATTTTGTTGATATAGAAAATAATGAAAATAATGTGAGTACTATGAACAAATCAAAATCTTTTAGCCTTTCTTATTTCTATTCTAGGAATACGAACAGTCCAATAATTCAATTAAAATAACAATCGACATATCGAAAGCAGATGAAGGTCAACTCTCTCAGATTTAAAATTCCAGACTTTTTCATTGGTTTGTAGAATCCCGTCAAAATATAATGCAATATATTAGTGCTAGATTTGGTCTATCGAAATTTCATTGGGAAAATCGACGAACTGCCTTTGTTTCGTATGTAAGGGAAATCGATGAATTGTTTTTCTTTTCAATGTCAGAGACGTTATCCTGTTATTTTTTCTTTTTATTTTAAATAGTTTGGAGAATCAACATGGTACTGATGAAATGATAACACAATGGAATTTCGATAAACAAGTTCAAATGGAATATTTACATGATAATGGACATTAGATAAACAAGCGAAAAATGAACAAAATATTATCGTATTGAGCCGAATAATCGTCTAAAATAAATGTGTCACTTACAGAGAAAATTGATGTTTTATTCATCTCATCCCGCCATTTTTCACGAAACCGATATACCTATGTACCAGAGCTCCTACCGATCCACCCGACTCGATCACCCGGCCCGGGACCAGGGCGGGCCGAGCCATTCGCTTTTTTTTCTCGGGACGGGCGGGCCATCTGAGAAAAGCTTTTAGCTCGGTCGGGTCAGCGTTTTTTACGGTCCGGCCCGGTCCGAGAAGTTTTAAAAGTTTTCTTCATATTTTCAGTTAAATTTGGCTATTTCCTAGTAACAGTATATTACTATTATCTAGTGAATTCTGTTGAGAAAAAGAGTCTGATCACTAGTCAATTCGGATGACTGATACTAGAAGAAGAAACAAATACACCATGTAAAGGAATTCTATCCATTACTGAGTTTATTGTACAATAGACTCTCAAATATGTGCATATTTGGCAAAGCTTGCTCGACATTTATATTCAATTCCAGCAACGTCTGCTGGAGTCGAGAGGCAGTTTAGTGCCGCGGGTCTTGTAATTAATGAACGACGATCATCATTAAATCCTGATACTGTAGAAGATATATTATTTGGGCGATCAATTCAAAAATCACTTGAAAAAGATCCACATCTGTTTTCCTAACCTTGTTTTGTGTTTCCTTCTCTTCTTTCTTTCGCTCGTTCATATGTTTTTGAAATTACCTAGCCAAAAAGTTATTTCTGTTTTCTTAATTAACTCATACTGTTGCTGAACTAATCTTTAGCAAAGCTTTTACTGTGTTTTTGCCATAACAAAACTGAATTGAGTCTAAAAAGAATTTAGAGTCGGGCTCGAGCCGGGCGGTCCAGGAAAGACTACCACCCGGGCCGGGTCGGGCCAACCGATTTGCATGATGGGTCGAGCAGGCCTCGACTTTTCTTGGCCCGGCTTGTTCCGGGCGGGCCATCAAAAATTCACCCGATTAGGAGCTCTGCTATGTACAGTATTTATTTTTATTGGTTGCTACGACAGGTTTTTTTTCATTTTGATTTCTGATGTTTTGCTCTGAGACACTTAGAGTTTGTTTCGTTAACTTGTCAAAATGAAATATCAAACTTTTTCAAATTACATGACTATTGCTAACCGATGGCGTCCCGCTATTGCATCATATACAATGAAGAACAGTGGGACAGAGTTTTGGATAAAAATGTGTTAAGTTTTTGAAAATAAAGCATTTTATACTCTTTTTAATTCTATTCTGTATTAGGATAGCTATGTCACAAGGTATAATAATATGGTGAATATAAATATAAGCACCTATGTATTGTTGTAGAGTAAGCTAACGTTATTGGTAATTGAGTAGGAGCCATCCATTCGCCGCACATCGAATTATAACTTTACTTCCAATACACCGATACAACTAACCATACCTGTTTTCGTTTAAACAGATATTGTAAATTATTCTATAAAAACCAGCGTAGCCACAACCAGTGTAGCCAAACTAAAACTTATGTAATATAAACCGTTTCGTGTGCTCTACAAAATAGTGCATTAAAAAATTTTTTTTGATTTGATCTCTGATTTTCTAGACATCCAGTTTTCAGAAAAACAGTTCACAAAAGCCTGAAGGCAGCCATTTGGAATCAACGTCATCAGTTGCATATAGTTCACCTAGTTTCACCGAAAAGCGACTTGCAACTTGGGCGGTTCTCTCGTAAGACGGATCAAAAACCCAAATTCAGCAGTAAAAGTTTGAGAGCATATTTTCAAAATCGAAAGAATTTAATTTATATCTTTTGAGACTTTAGAAGACAACTATTTCCGAAATTAAAGATGAAAAGAAAACGACAAAATGTCAATAGTGAATATTATGGCGTTATTCTCTCAATTTCACATCGTTTATCCATCTACTATGTGAGTGGATGTTTTCTAGTATGCATGTGTGATAATCAACTTTTCTTTTTCGGCTGTTCTCTACATGTAATGGGCCTGCCCGCTTTCTGTAATCAAATAAACTATGTTTGAGTATACTGCACTTATCTTTGAGTATACTCATAGATAAGTCCATTAGTAACCCCGTTAGTAGATATCAGAGACCTAATCGGATCTTAGGCGGATGACTCGAACCCGACCCGATCCGAAGATATCTCTACCCGAACCCGACCCGAAGTGGTACGAAATTTTCGAAACTTGATCCAAATGACCCGAAAATTTTTTGTCGTTTGATTCCTGTTTCTCTTTTTTCTTTTTCTTTGACACTAGCAAAGTAAAACAAAATGTAGTTACAAAAAACAAATATCAATCAATTCTTCATTTGTTTCTTTACAGAGCTAAGAATACACAGTCGTTTAATGTATCTGAATTGGCTCGTACTTATTTTTTGGATGCAGTATAGTTGAATTCATTAGAAGCCATTTTTAACACAAAATACAGTGTCTTCAACTAACTTTTCATCAATAAAAAAGAGTTCAGTTACAGATATGTTACAAAGTAATACTGTATACAAACGAGAATTACTAAACAGGTTTTTCTATATATTTTTTCTTTTCTTTCTTTGCTTCAACAGTACTACGCTGTATATTACACAGCGTCATAGAAGAAAGAAAAAAAACATCGTATTTTCTTCTTCGATAAAAAAGATGCATGTTTGAAAACAGATGAATAACCGGAGAAACTCTTCTGATTTGTCTTCTGGTGGCAAGACTCGAATAAAATCCGAACATTTTTTCCTTGACTCAACCCAAATTCAATATTTTTTCACCTCCGACCCGATCTGAACCAATATTATTTACATTGATCCGAACCTGACCCGACCCGACCCGTTTCGATCTCTGGTTGATATGGGCAATCAAACAATAGCAGCGCTAATATCGAATTTTAATTTTAATAGTTGACTTTAGTTTTAAAATTTTTATTATTATTTTTATTAAAACTTTTATTAAAATTCGTAACATGATAGCTGCAATTTTTATTCTCAAATTCTTATTCTTATACCTTGCCCATAAACTCTCGAAATGTTATAGAACATTTTTTCTGTTTTTCTTATTCTCTTTTCAGAGTCTATAGACTATATAGAGTCTATCAAACTATATATAGTTTGATGCTGTACATATATAACCCGTCTCTGTTAGGATCTTTTTTTAGCAATACACTCATCTTTTGATCAGATATCGTATGCATTATTGAGTTTTTCTCTTAGTATTATTTTGACTTCGTTCTTATAACACGAGTGACGACTACAATATTTTCAATACAAATATTAATAGCATTTTGTTGATGACATCAAACCTCATTACACTGTTTTCCAGCGCCACAGACATTTTGACAGCCTTCTATTAAAAGTATTGTAGTTTTCTATACAATGTAACATCGACAAAACAAAAGGATATAACGGGTTCGTCTCTTTCTTCTTGTTCTGTTTTGTTTCAACTTTTTTTTACACCACATCATAGTTATCAAATGAAGCTTATAACAAATATTGTAATCGTCGCTTCTTTTATGACAATGAAGTCAAAATAATATTAAAAGAAAAACCCAGTAAGCATACGATATCTAGTACAATTAGTACAATTAGCTAGTAGATATGGGCAATCAAACAATAGTAGCGCTAATGCTAATAGCGGAACATCAAGCAACAATAACAGCCGATCTATAGACGTCATTCATAATTATATTTTTTAATTTACTCTTTTCCTTCCTTCTTTCCTGTTTTGTGTTTTGATAGATACCAGCAACGACTATATTTTCTGTTTATAAGAAGAAAAATAGGAGAAAAAAGTAATAATGATTACACATGCAAACGCATAGAACACATTTGAAAAAACAAAATCACATTGCAATATCAGTTTTGTATCATGGGTTTCCTTGATGATGATGGTCATCCGTTGAATTTAAATTATACCGTATGGCTGTTTCTTACACCAAATATTGTTTTAATTTGTTTAACGTGTCTTTGTACATATTTAACATATAAAGCAAAGACTTCGATTAGGCTGGGAAGAATTTTAGGTATCTTATCAAAATTTTATTCACACGGTGCACTAGATCATATTATTATTAGTGTATTGAAGCAAGTTGAAAATGAATTAGGTATTCACATAGGAAGTGGTGTAACTGCTAATAACAATAATAATTCAACTGCGGTAAATATATTACAGACTCCTGTCGGTGTTGTTGCTGCTACTGCAGGCAATGAAAATGGATCATTACTATTACCATCGAGTAGTCCCTTAAAAAAGTTGCAAGTGATAACATTAGCAAAACCGACAGGTAATTATGGTTGAACGCCAAAGATAAGTCGAACATACTAAACTATGTGAGGCAGCTAGACTGCTCAGAAAATCGATAGGGACATATCATCAGACGCAGCTTTCCGTGCTGATTGACCTTTTTTTTGAAGAAAAACTTAATTTCAGTATAAATTTTTAAAAACTTTAATTTCAATTTTCTGACCTAGACATTTGATTTAAAAAGTTTTAAAAGCATACCATTGCCTACAGGATTCAATTCTCTGCAAAACGACTCATTTTGTTTTGAGATCTATTTTTTAGTTGAGACACTGTGGCTGCTTAAACGTTTCAACTTCCGCCTCGGTCTGAAAGCCTCATAGAATGTTTCGAACTTTATTTTCGATTGGAAGCTTTTCAAGAAACCTAGAACTACACAGACTATAAGTATGAAGTTTTTTTAACAACGTTTAGTGCCTAAAAATGGTGCGACAAAAAAGTGTGTCACAGCGTTACGTTACAAAATCAGCTTTTCTAGGCGTACGGAAGGGTTTGGAAAAAGGATTTTTTTACCAAAAGAAAAGTCCGTTAGCTCCTCTACAAACTTGCTTCTAGAAACTTTTCAGATGCACAGCTCAAGCTCAATTCGCAGGAAATCAGAGCTATATCAGCAGTTCTGAAAAAATAGGAAGCTTTTCTGTTGCAGCTTTACTCCCCGAAAAATCTTTCTGGAGGCTTGAGTCTTGAACCAAAAATCTTCGTTTTTATATAGTACGTAGGGTTTGATGAACTGCGCTGAATGGCGCCAAAGCGAACTTTCTAGCTCCTACAGTTTTCAAGAAAAGTACAAATTATTGTCTCAAAAATGTCACAGGGTTACCTTTGCACAAGCCACTCAGTCAGATGGGTGTCATGATACTATACGAAAGTTGTGGTGGCTGAAACTCTGTCAGGTTATTGAACTGAAATCTCATATTTAGTATTAACAATAGTATTGACAAGTAGAGGAATAAGATTAGCTAACTAAAGTTAAGTTTTCAAGTGCTTCATGGGCTGTAATGAATCTGTCGAAAAGTCTACCTTTTTGTAGAGCTGTAGATTATGTACACACTTTTTTGCAGGTGTAGCAAAGGACTAGTAAAGACCACCGAGAAACTTTTATCAGTGTACCGAATGGGACCGGACCAATGTGGTACAAATCTGTTTCCAGCGAAAAGTGAGCTGATGCATTTTACTAATAAGTAGTGAGGCAACACTTTTACTTCTATAGAATACGTCCAATCAAAGTGTATATTTGAAAAATTAGTGATATCTTTGTCTTTTTTTCTGTCACTGCATCTTTTGATTCAGATTCCACTTCAACTCCTCCGCATCCAAATCTTCCTCGTTATTCTATTCAAAGTAATGATGGTTTACTTCGTCCTATTCAAAAGAATATATCAACAAAAATTGACATTGATAAACATGTTGACAGTGATTATATTCTCCTTGTTCCATTGCAAATCGATCTCATGCTTACTGTATTTATCTATAAAATCTTAACACGTGAACAATATTTTGAAAATTGTCAAACCTACTTATCTACATATCATAATCGTCGGGATCATGTTGCTTGTTGGGTTACACACATGACTATTAATTCATCAACACATTCACTATATGATTTTTGTATTAATCAAACAATAACCTATATTAATTATGAATATAACAGTGTTCTCTGTATACAGTATGTATTTAAACTAATTAATATTATTGATACAATAACGAATGTTATTGCATGGCATCAAGCCATTGTTTTCATTATAACAAAGGGTGTAATTATTAGCTATTGGTGGCAACGTAAACTTCGTTCGTCAAACTATTGGTCTACATTGAGTACATTTCAACGTAAAATGATTCTATTTTCATTACTTCATCCTATTTTAAGTCTATATATTTTATTTTGTATAATACTAATGCCAATGTATTTTTATAAATTTGAAAGTCGACGTATTGATCTGACACATCATCTTCTATTTGCATCAGTTAAATTTATTTTTGCTTCGATAGCACATATACATCTGTATACAATGTTAAAATGGTACAAACTTTATAAAAGAGGGAAAAATGGTGTTTCGATGGTAACAAGAGAAGATGAAGAACGTATTGAAACAAATGATTAGTTGAAATAAATGAATGAATCACTTGTAGATCGAACAAGATAATGTGCCGTTTAAAAATAAAATTAAAAAAACTACCTTGGACTGCAAATTTCATTGACAGAGCTCTGTCCTTTCCTATGACACCAGCAGGTTCGTAACATCATGACGCTTTTATGACTGGGCGATAAAGAAATCTGAAGTTCTCGTCAGCTATTAGGCCGTTTCAATTGATTTTCCTACCAACAGACAGAAACGCCGATTCTCTACTAAAAACATATTATTTCAGACCTACCTTATTTGAAACCTAAAATCACCCTCAAAGGTGCTACAGTGATACTGACTCAGATTTTGCTCTCTGTCACAACGTGTGGGTGATTGGTGAGTTATCTAGGAATATACAGTGATGTTTACTCTATCAAGATCTTTTATCAAAATTTTTTGCGATTTTGAAACAGCACCAGTAATTGATTTTTAGGGGATATCGGAGTTTCATTAAAAAAGCTTTCATCAAAATGAAGTTCATTAAAATTTTGATGAAATTCTTGTGCCGTCAGTAGCTCTAGGTCACAGCTATTTTGCACGAGACATTTTAACGAAAGTCCCGGAACTTTCATTAAAAACATTTTTGATGAAAGTGCCGGGACTTTCATGCAAAAAAACGCTTTAATGGAAGTTTCTTTAATTAGAGTCACCCTACCCGATTTTTAGGCCTAGTTGGCAAGGTTTTTTTTTCGAATTTCTAAACCACGTGAAACTTTCGACACCAGTTATTGTCAATTTTGGAATCAGTACCGAATTTGGCTTCGAATAGTGTATCACAGGTACATGCAAAAGAGACTCTCATTTTTTGATCTAAGAAATATAATCCATTCCTACACTTTTCAGAAGTAGAAAAACGATTTTTCTACTTCTGAAAAGTGTTCGACTTTTTTACAAATGTTCTACGTAATTCGACGCCAAATTCGCTGCTGATTCCAAATACGATAAGGGTTTTGGTCGAAAGTTTACACCTTGGAATGTCATACCTTGAACCAACTATGAAGACGGATGATGTAAGATAACTAATTTCAAAGTTCATTCGAGTCGAGATTTATGTGAAGTGTGGAGGGCTGTCAAATTATCCTTATACACTATAACCAAGAAAGTGTTAGAATTTCAGAACTTCAGAATTTCAGAATTTCAGAATTTCAAAATTTCAAACTCATCCTTATACCGTGTGCGATAGTCACTCTTATAGAAAATGTTGGAATTTCAGAATTTCAGAATCTGAAACTGATCCTTATACTCTGTGCGATAGTCACTCTTATCCGAAATGTCTGAATTTCAGAATTTCAGAGGTTCAGTACTTGAACTTAAGGTGTAAAGAGGTTTGCTGGGACCCGCAAGAGAAACAGTGACATAGTTTACGGTTCTGCAAAAACTGCGCAAACGCCCGATAATGTCGGAGCATCATCTATAAATCTTTGGGTCTTACTTTCGAGTAGTTAGTTAGAATTAGTTAGAATAAACTCGTGGAGACATTCGCCGTTCCAACACCATTTCGTATACGAATGACTATCGCACACGCTATCCGGATAACCCAATGATCTTAAATGCTATGTGGCTATCGCACACTGTATAAAGACGCGTTTGAAATTCTGCAATTCCAACATTTTCTATAAGAGTGACTATCGCACACTGCATAAGGATGAGTTTGAAACTCTCAAATTCTGAAATTCCAACATTTCCTATAAGAGTGACTATCGCACACTGTATAAGAACGAGTTTGAAATTCTGAAATTCTTAAATTCTAACATTTTCTATAAGAGTGACTATCCCACACTGTATAAGGATGAGTCTGAAATTCTGGAATTCTGAAATTCCAAAATTTCCTATAAGAGTGACTATCGCACACTGTATAAGAACGAGTTTGAAATTCTGAAATTCTTAAATTCTAACATTTTCTATAAGAGTGACTATCCCACACTGTATAAGGATGAGTCTGAAATTCTGGAATTCTGAAATTCCAAAATTTCCTATAAGAGTGACTATCGCACACTGTATAAGAACGAGTTTGAAATTCTGAAATTCTTAAATTCTAACATTTTCTATAAGAGTGACTATCCCACACTGTATAAGGATGAGTCTGAAATTCTGG